GAGACCAAGGTAGACCTAAAACCCTTCTACCACAGCGCCACCAGAAATCCAGTCTACCCCAGCTAAGGCAAAACGTGAGGGCCACATTCCTAACCGGGAGGCCAAGATACGGGATGCCTAGGGGTGAAAGAGTGGATTAACACACCGGGCTTCGAGGACGAAGCCCCTCGTAAGGGGGGGAGAGTGTAACACCCCGTGTTACGATCCCTAAAATCAATTAAATCATTTAATCAATTACCCAAAAGAAAGAATTAAATCACAATAATTAATTAGGAAAGGCCCGCCATAGTCCACGGGCCCTTATCCCTAAACCCAATCCTTAATTCCAAAAGAAATAGAATTAGCAAGCCTATAATATAAGTTCCTAACTAGGACTCCTAAATATATAAATAGGGGGCTTGAGAGGCACCTAGAAACGCCCCACCACAATAAACGTTCCACCACCCCAAAGAGCTCCAAGAATCCCCTTAGAAGAAATCAAGAAAGCAAGAAAGCTTAAAGAAAGACCCTTCATAGCCGAGGAATTAACTAAGGCTAAGAGGTAACCCATGTCTCAACAAAACCTATTTTCATAGTTATGATTTCCCCCGTAAGTTTTCCCCATATTATTGTGTATTGATGATTTGTGATGTTATTATTGATGATTGATGGGATAATTCCATGGGTGATCTTGACATCGGGAGATTCTTGATAACTATGGTGTTCTTAACGATTATGTGGAGTTCTTGATGATTATATGGTGTTCTTGATAATTGTATGGCGTTCTTGATGCTTAAGTGTTATTTGTACCGAATCTTGTAATTAGAAGACGAACCGTATTCTTGTTGATATAAAAGTAATTAGGACCCTAGGTTGATGTTCTTGTTGGCGTTCTTAATGCTTATGTGATATTCTTACCGAATCTAGTAATTAGAAGACGAATCGTATTCTTGTTGGATTAGAAATAATTAGAACCCTAGGTTATATCGTGGAATTCGTATGGTATTATTCTTGGTGTATTGGGTGGGATTTCGCATGATTGGGTGTTTATTAGGTTTAGAAAAGCATGACAGGTTATGTACCGTTTGATTCTTGATTTTGATCCGTTAAATCGTCTACGTGTGTTATCAATTGCGTTTGAAAGTGTCTAAGCATGGTCTCGGGTTCTACGAAGGTTCCCGGGGAGTTTTTGGTGTTAATGAGTCAGTGGGGGGTAGGTGGGGGTAGGGGACCCGCCACCTACCCGCGGTCAAAAAGGGGCAGTTCCGGCAGCGGGCAGCCGGCGGGCGGGAAGCTGCCCGCCGGCGACCCGCTGCCCGGAACAGTGTTTACCGGCGGGCAGCCGGCGGGTGGCCCCCCACCCACCGGCTGCCCGCTGGAAATTCCCACACTTGGGACCCCGACTTCCCCGTTTGATGTTTCCCCGACCCCCGTGGTGTCCCAACGGACTCCGTCTATCGTGCCTATGTCAAGTTTGATGTTTCGGGTACCGTTCGTAGGTTGTATGAATCTTATATATTGCATGCTAGTTGAATTGGTACCCCGCTGACCTAGGTGAAAGGAGTATGAACCCCTTAGGACCATTCTTAGTATGTGAAGGATCACGCATAGGTTTTGTTATACGTTTTCTCCCCCTTCCCAATGTGTTAATGTGGGTTGCATGTGCTTGCTATCTGTTATGTGTGCATGTTACCCCGATTTGGTTGAGATCAATCGGGCTATACGGGCAGTCGGGTGGGCTGAGAACCATACCGGCTGTTAACCAGGCTGGTAGAGACCGGTCAGGTATATAAATATTATATAGGACTAAGTTCCACTATACGGGCAGTCGGATGGGCTGAGAACCATACCGGCTGTTAACCAGGCTGGTAAAGACCGGTCAGGTATATAAATATTATATAGGACAAAGGTCCACTATACGGGCAGTTGAATGGGTTGAGAACCATCCCAACTGTTAACCAGGCTGGTAAAGACCAGTCAGGTATATAAATATTATATAGAACTACGGTTCATTAGTCGGTTGCGATCGACTCCTCCGTAATGTGAGACGGGGCAGGGTGCTGCGGGGCCGTGTCAGAGCTATATACGCTGACCCTCATGTATGGGCATGCGATTGGTCCTGTGGCGCCAACAAAGTGTGCTATGTGATGAGATATGGATGAGTTGTGTTTATGAGTATATTGGGGGATGTGACTATGGGATTTATGCTGGGGATTGTTTATGATTATTAATTGTGCTCAGCTTTATCTGTCTTGCCTGTTGTGGATTGTATACGCTTGTTATAACTGTTGCTTGTGTCTAGCCTTATCTGTCGAGTCATTCCCGGTTTTAAAAGCTAGAGTCTCGTAGGATATATCTTCATGCTTCAAAATGGTTTTCGTATATCTATATATATCTCTATATGTATTGTATTTCAACGCGTTGGAGTGGGTTACCAGCATCTCTCGCTGAATAGATATATTTGGCTTTCAGGCACAGACGAGTAGATCACTGGAGCGCGCTAGAAGCTTGGACGTAGCTTAGATAGTTTTTCCTTTTCGGCCTGCGTGCCATGATTTAGTACTGATACTATTTGAGGACATTAGTCAGTTAGCCTGTGCACCTGAGTTCTCTAGCTCAGGTGTGGCATAGCACCCCATACTCTTGTACTATGTTTTGGGATTCAACGAGATTTCACCTTTATTTTATAAGTTTTAAATATCCTGAAAATCTGGGGTGTTACAGACCTTGTCCCGAACGAAGTCGTAATCAATATCAACATGTTTTATACGAGCGTGGAAGACCGGATTAGCCGCTAGATAGGTGGCCCCTAAATTATCACACCACAGCGTGGCCGAGGCATCGGAGTGTAACCCTAACTCACGTAGTAAAGAAATAACCCATGTAACCTCTGCTGAAACATCGACAAGCCCTTTGTACTCGGCCTCAGTGGAGGACCTAGCGACAGTGCGTTATTTGCAGGAGACCCATGAAACAAGATTGTCCCCGAGAAACACGGCGTAGCCGCTGGTGGACTTACGATTTATCGGACACCTGGCCCAGTCCAAATCTGTGTAAGCATGTTGATCAGAAGAAGGTGACGCAGATAGACGAAGCCCATAGTCTTGAGTCCCCTTAATATACCTCAGAACCCGCTTAAGTAGCGCCAAGTGATCATCAGTCGGAGAGTGCATGAACTGACACAATCTGTTAACCGAGTAGGAGAGGTCAGGCCGGGTGATGATTAGATACTGCAGAGCCCCTACAATCCGGCGATATTGTGTCGGGTTCTCAAACGGAGTCAACGAGGGTGTAGCAAGTTGAGTGACTGCGGCTGGAGTGGCCAAGGCCTTACAGTCTATCATTCCCGGCCTAGTGAAGATGTCCTTCATATACCGGCGTTGAGATAGAACGAGTCCATCACCAGAGGACACTGTTTTGATCCCTAAAAAGAAGTTGGGTGTCCCCAGATCCCTAATTTTGAAAGTTGTTGACAATTGAAGAAGGAGGGTGTCAATTAATGCTGAGTCGTTGCCCATCATGATTATGTTGACAACATAGACTAACAAGTAGACCCGTGAGTTACCCGCTGTATAGTAAAAGAGTGAGATATCGGTTTTGGATGCCAAAAAACCAGTGGATGTCAAGAATTCATGTAAGCGGTTGAACCACGCCCGGGGCGCCTGTTTGAGGCCATAAAGAGAACGTTGCAATTGACATACATGTCCCGGGTGAGCGGGGTCTTCATAGCCGGGGGATTGTTTCATGTAGACAGTTTCAAATAGATGTCCATTCAAGAAGGCATTGTGGACATCTAGTTGACGTAGCACCCACTTGTGACACTGCAAGGGAAAACAGAATGCGGACTGTAGTCGGTTTGACTACGGGGCTAAAGGTGTCAAAGAAATCTTCTCCACCTACCTGATTGAACCCTTTCACCACTAAACGGGCTTTATAGCGTTCAACAGTCCCATCGGCCTTGCACTTGGTACGGAAGACCCACTTGCACCCAATAACATTCATACTCGGGCTTGCCGGGATTAGTTGCCACGTATTGTTATGCATGAGAATATTAAACTCCTGATCCATGGCATCACGCCACTGCGGATGGCCCACGGCCTGAGAGTAGCAAGTGGGGTCCACAGTGGTGTTAAGGGCATAGAACTGCTCGTCTGTGCCCCGAGTTTTGCACCGGGTGCGCATGACATGATCCTCAACCTGAGGGCGGGTGCGTTTAGTACAACCCGGGGGTCGGCCTCGTGTTGCAACAGTCTGAGGTGGCCCTTCTATAGCCATGGGTGTCGGCTGTTGTGCAAGAAGCGGTTCATCCAGAACTTGGGTGTTGATAGGATTCACCATCACGGGCCCAGCTCCCCAAGATGTAGGAGCGGGGTCCGGACTAGAGTCGACCTGCAAAGAAGTCTGCAAAGCAAATGGGAAGACTGATTCATCAAAACTCACATGACGGCAGATAAATATCTTCCCTGTAGTTAAGTCCATACAGCGGTATCCCCTAAAAGAAACTGGGTAACCTAGGAAGACGCAGGGTGCAGAGCGGTACTCAATCTTGTGCCGATTGTACGGCCTTAGATAAGGGTAGCACTTACACCCAAAGACCCGGAAGAAAGTGTATGGTGGTGGTGTTTTGTGTAGACGGAAGTGTGGGGTTTCATAAGATATAGCTGATGAAGGCAAGCAATTAATTAATTGAGTTGCTGTTTCAAAAGCATAATCCAAATATTTTAACGGAGCTGAGCTTTCGGCTAATAGGGCTAAGCCGGTTTCGACAATATGTCTATTCCGGCGTTCAACACGGCCGTTTTGCTCGTAGGTATAGGCACACGATTGTCTGTGTGTGATGCCTAGAGATTCGAATATTTTGTGTAGGCGACGATACTCACCCCCTAAATCGGACTGAATGGCTTTGATAGAACGGGAAAATCGCCGTTCTACCATCACCTGAAACAACTCAAAAACTTTATATATATCTGATTTTAACCGTAAGGGATAAAACCAGCAAAAACGAGTACAGTTGTCTACAAACAAAACAAAATAACGATAGCCAGAATCTGAAATAACCGAGGAAGGCCCCCAGATGTCCGTATACAACAAATCTAAAATATTTAAACTTGACGTATGAACTCTATCTAAGGGAAACCGAGCCGACTTTGCCAAGTTGACACGCGGAACAGACTTCTGACGCATGGGCTTTATTTGACGTGACCGGACAGTGTTTTAGGACTCGTTGAAGGGCTTGTTTATGTGGGTGTCCCAATCGTTGATGCCAAATTGAGGGTGACGCTTTTGCCGTTAGGAATGCAAAATGCGCCCGCAGTACCAACAATTTAAACAAACCGCCGACCGTGAAACCTTTAAGAAGTGTTTCCCAAGTAGTGCAATCCTTCACAAAAAAAAAATCCTTATGAAACTCAAAAAAGACATTGTTCCCGTTTGTGAAACGATAAACAGATAAAAGAGATAACAACATTTTCGGAACAAGCAGTATATTGGACATATTTAACAATTTGGAATTAGATGGGATAACTATACGACCAACTCGGGAGATATTCAAACCTACGCCATTACCTACTTTCAAAACGTCGTCGTCGGTGTAGGCCTCAGACTGTCCGACCTGCTGTTCATCCGGCGACGCGTGCATGGAGGCGCCGGGGTTGGGAAACCAGGCGTCCGTCTGTGCAGCGTCCGCCGGCGAGCCACCTGCGACGGCCAAATGAGCATGCGGCGCTGGTTTTGTATATCTTTTGTAGCAGTACACGGTTGTATGGCCTTGGCTTCTACAAATCTGACACCGAGGATTGCCACGGCCACGCCCGCCGCCGGTTTGCCGTCCACGTCCACTGCCCTGATGGTTCGTAGATTGCCGGCTGCCATGTCCACTGGATTGACCACCACGACCGGCGTATAAGGCCATCAGAAATAAGAAAGAATTTATTTGTACTCAAAAGTATTACGTTTTCCCTTATAAATAAGAAAGAATTTATTCCTAATTTAGTACTACATTTGCTAGTATAAGTATTACATTTGCATATTGACGCGACCTGACCCGTTTCACATATAAGAATTTGTGAGACAAGCCTTTCAATCTTTCACAAGTGTGACCCAACAATTAAGTATGGTATCCTAATTATTCCAAATATTATCAATACCATAAAAATAATATGCAATTTAGCTTCGAAAGGATGATGGAGTAGATAAATGAAAATATTTTCCCCAACTAATTCAAATTGGAAAATTTATAAATTATAAAAAAAAAAAAAAGTTACACCACTAATTGATAAAGAAAAAAAAAAATTATTTCAATCCCTCAAGTTTCATATAATTGTACTAATATCCCAATTGAACTGAGCTTTGTGAATGAAATTTCTAGCTCTCCCCTTCTGTTCTGTTCTTCAGACACTTACAAATCAGGAATCAACCCCAAGAAAAGAAAAGGTAAAAGAAAAAAAAATTATACTATCAAAGAAAAGTGAATTTAATAAATGATAGTAAAACTGTGAAATTAAAGGAAATTGAACAAAAATTATCTAAAATTAGAAAGTCCATTTCCAGATCTTGATTCTGAGATCAACCTTACAGCTTGCATTGGAAGTGGTGGCCATGGCCGGCGTCTTCCCCTTGGGAGTTTGGCTATGGATTCCTTCGCAGGTGACTCTGATCCCGAACTTCTTGCTCTTCAATTTCTCAAGCTTCAGCACAACCATGGTGTCCATGACGATCTTGATGGGCAATCCGCGTCTTCTCTTCAGATCTGATTTGAGTTCGGAGACGGAATCGGCGTCGAGAACTTGGGAGGTGAGCGAGAGGGTTGAGTGGATTATCGTGATGTTATTCGGGTCGGAAGGGAAACCCGGGAAGGAGCCGTTGGCTAGGGTTACTTGGGAGGCGAAGGCGATGAGGGAGATGCGGTCGTAGGTGTAGATCAATTTCTTATTACGGTTTTTGGCGGAGAGGGTTAGGTTGAGCTTGGCGGTGAGGCGGGTGGTGTCGTCGGCGGCGGCGGTGGTGAGGTTGAATTGGGAGATCTTGAGGGAGGAGACGGAGAATGCGGGGCGCTGGGGGCGGTAGAGGACGTAGAAGATAGCGCCGGCGATGGCGGCCAGGAGGAGGAGGATGCAGATGATCAGGACGGCCCAGAAGCAGCCCAGGCAGAAGCACCGCCTGCAGTTGCATCGCCGCCGGTCGTGTCGGTGGTACGCCGTCGGAGTCGGCCGGTAGGGGATGCGGTTAGGGTTGTAGAGCTGCGGTTTCGGCGGATTGGTCGCCGCCGCGCCGTTAGCCGCAGTCGCCGCGGCCGGGTTCGCCGCAGCGCCGTTCTGCTTCGCAGATGGGTACACTCTATCCGCCATTTCTTTTCTCAACAATTCTCGAAGCAATTGACTGTAGTCAACAAGCGTCAACGCCGAATCTTTCGCCGGAAAAGGTGGTGGCGCCGCCCACGGCGGTGAGTAAAACTTAACTTGTAAAGTGAGAAGGAGGAGTAGATTGAGTGATCTCTGATTATGAGGCGCACAGCTTTCATGTAAATCTAGGTTTGGGGATGACACGTGGGAGCAATAAAAGAACAGAACTAGTGGGACCCTTTTTTTTTATTGACTGTTTCGCTACAAGAGATCAGATGGCTCGGAATGGCCGGTGGGTCACCCAAATCACCTATTCTCTTTCTTCACTATATTTCTAAATAAGTGTAAACAAAGTATCCAAATTGTGACGATCCATTTGTGCGCACCAACATTTAACTTTGTTTTATGAGCCAATAAATTACTGTTATTTACATTCTTTCAAATGTTCTGTCGAGTAAGGTATGAATCCTTAGGATTGAAGATTCAAATTTTTGAGAGAAAAGTATAAACAAAGTATTTTTTATTTTTATTTTTTTGTAACTACAATCTAATTCTATATAGGGTAAGAGTGATGCCATCGGATTACAAGTTACTTGGCTAAACAAAATATTATTCTATGAGTCACATTTGTGTGTGACGGTTTCATAGAGTTTTTGGTCGAGTTAATGATAGTTATTTGTTATTTATGATAGAAATCCTAAAACTTATTACAAAAAAATTAATACCAATTTAAAATAAATAAATTATTATTTATAATAGATATTGAAATATTTATATATTTATTTATTTAGGTAAAATGATTGTTATTAGCTAATGATAAATACTGTAATACTTATAACTGAAATTGTGATACTTACAAAGTGTTCTAATATAAATCTTGTAATACTTATATGTGAAATGTTATTTATAAAAGAATTTGTAATACTTATTGTAGAAAACGTAACTTAATACCAATTTGAATTAGAAAATAAATAATTTGTTACTTATAATAGATATTGTAATACTTATATGTGGAATTTTGATACTATTTATAGTAAAATTAATTGTTACTAATGATAAATATTGTGATATTATAATTGAAATTGTGATCGTTATGCTGTGTATAGTGCATACGGATGCAAAAACGACGTCGTTTTGACGTCTAACTTTAAAAAAACAAAAAAAAAAACAAAAAATTCATAATTGCATAACTACACATCCATAATTTCATAACTATACATCCAGAATTACATAACTACACATCCATAATTTCATAACTATAAATCCAGAATTGCATAACTACACATATATAACTTCATAACTATACATCCAAAATTGCATAACTATACATCCATAACTTTATAACTATAAAATCCAGAATTGCATAACTACACCATGCATAATTACACATCCATAATTTCATAACTATAAATCCAGAATTGCATACCTACACATCCAGAATTTCATAACTAAAAATTCAGAATGTGAACTAAAAAATGAACAACATAATGTTGTTGCTGGGAATAGAAACTGATTTTTGTTTTTAAGTAGGACGCGCGTTTTGATGCAAAACAACTTCATTTTTGCATCTGTATGCACCATGCATGGTGCATACGGATGCACGACATAATTTGGCGTTACACACCTAGTTGTCTATAACTTGACATGTCCCACGGACAAGGATTTGTGATATGGTCTTACACAAATTTTTGTCTTATTGTTTACCAGAAGTCTCGAGATTAATTTTTTCAATATCTTTTAGTTGAATCTATCGTACATGATTTTCTTAATACAATTTACTTTTCCTATTTAGTTTGTAGACTATTATACAAGAGTGAAACTTGCTTAGTACATACATCGAGTGCGTTGACTTAAATATAGGTAAAGTTTAAGTTGGTTATACTATAGTGAGTCATAGGAAGCTAGCGAGCCAAAAGCGGTTTCTTCTGGCTCTTACATATGGAAGTCCTAGATAATGGGGAAATGTTATATGTACTTTTATTTTTTACTCTCAATTTTTACCCTCACACATAGAACATTGATGTACACTTGTATTAGAACTCATATAGAAAAATTAGCTTATCAGAGTCCGCCACAGCAGAAAGTAAAATTTGAGAATTTATGTAGTAAAACTCTAAACAATGTGAAGTAATAAGGGAATTATCTAAAAATAACTCTCAAGCATGGAGAACAAGTGTGGAGTCTCTCTTTCAAGGTAGCAGGCAGACTTTGAGTGCGTCTTAAGTTGCTTGGTTTAATTTCTCTCTTCTTTTGTCTTAAAAAAAATTATAATAAAATTAAAAGTTAAGAACTAAATATAACATTATCACAATAGTTAAAATTAATCGGTCGGAAGGCGTAGTTCTTAACGTGTTCACTAAGGTCTTCTTGGGGATTCCACAAGTGTGCTGAGGTTGTGAAAATGGCTTAGTGAGGTGATCCCCTCCTTTAGATAATAATTTAATTTAAAAAAAAAAAAAAAAAAAAAAAAAAAAAAAAAAAAAACCGTATGCAACATGTAAACTTTCAGCAGAGTTTTTTTTTTTTTTTTTTGAAAATGGTTTCCTATTCTAGTATTTCTATTGTAAAGGTGATTATATATCTGATCACTACCAAGACTATGTGGTCTAATGGTACCCGGGTTGGACTTTCATTTGGAAGGTTACGAGTTCGAGCCTCAGTATTGGTTCTTTGTGTTTCAGTAGGTTGAGAAAGTATATGAACAGATACTACAATGTAATAGGGCCAGTAACATTCAAAAAAAAATATATATATATATATATATATCTGATCACTAAGAGCCACAGCTTCATGGCATAATTGTAAGAGAAAACAAATCCTATGGAATAGACACAATCTGGTTTTAGGTCAAGATTGTCGGACCTTGGAATCTCTATAATTTTATTCCCTTTCATTAACTTTGACCATAATTGGGTTAAAAAATAATTCTTTTCTAAAAAAGTAAATCGTATAATTCATATCAATTAGTCTCCTAAAAAAGTTTTTGAGAATTAGTGTAAAAATTATTATTATTATTATTATTATTATTATTATTATTATTATTATTATTATTATTATTTGTTTATTTATTTCAATATTAATAAGTTTTGCATTTAAATTTTTCAAAAAAAAAAAAAAGGAAAAGAGTAAAATAGGACCTCGAATTTTACCTGAAAAGTCAATTAGACCCTTAAACTTTTGAAAGTTACAATTAAACTCATCAAAATTTTATTTTAGTACAATGAAGTCCAAAAACCGGTTAGTGACCTATGATAGCTGATCACTAGGGTTCCGGCGCGTACACACCGACACCATTTCCGACCACAAATTGACCGGCGCCGATCGTCGGTCGAAGAACAGAGTAGGCGACATCTTCTTCGAGAAGGCAGCCGGAACTGGTCGCCTTTGGAGAAGCGACCATTTCTTGTTGCCTTCTCTAGAGATGCGACCAGAAATGGTCGCCTACTTTGTTCTTCGATCGGTGCTGGTCGCCGATTGATTTGTGGTCGGAAATGATACCATAATAGGTCAGAGTGTCGCCAGAGAGTTGCCGGAACCCTAGTGACCTGCTATCACATGTCACTAACCAGTTTTTAGACTTTATTGCACTAAAATAAAACGTTAATGAGTTAAATTGTAACTTTAAAAAATTTAAGAACTTAATTGACTTTTTAGATAAAGTTCGAGGTTATATTTGAATTTTTTTTTTTTTTTTCCAAAAAAAGGATAGAGAGAACATTCAGAACAATAATAAACCATAATAATTATTTTGGGTATGGGGGCTAAGGTGTCCATAGAACTTTCTTCATTTAATCATTTCATTTTTGTTTCGTTGGAGTTTAATGTCGACGATGTATTACAATTCCTTTGAAAAATCATTACTCTTTTTAAGGTTAATAATAAAAGTATGCTAATTACATGAAAAATAATTTGGAGGATTTACAACTTTTATATGGATTAATCTTAGTGGTCAACTACTATATAATGTGATGACATCTTGTGAAATGGTGGTCATAGGTTCGAATCCGATGGGTGTTTAGATTCCTTGGGTTGAAAATGTTTTAAAAAGATTTCAAAAAAGTGAATTGTGTGATTACTTTTAATGTCATATCATTAGATTTAGATAATCTCTCCAGTTCCTCCTTATATAGAAAAAGAAAGTGTAAATTTAGTTAACGTCTCTAATGTACTTCGTAATGTTTTTATTATATAAAACTATCCTTTTAACATTAAGAAAAATGTTAATGGTATACTAAACACCAAATTATAATTATTATGAATATATAATTAGAATTACTACATAATATTTACTTTTAACATGATATTTTATTTTATGAAAAAGTGTCAAATTATCCTCTTAAGTTGAATGGACAATGCAATTAAGTCTTTCAACTAATTTTTTTTCACCTAACCAGGTTAAATAGTGCAAGTAAATCATATCATTGCATACTTAATATGTTACCAACGCTTATCAGACTAATACACTCTTTTAATGCTTAGGTGGACGAGTGAACAATTTATTTTATTATTCTGTTTTCTTAAATAGACACCAAAAGAAAATAATCTATTGTTAGTTTTTTAAAAATAAAAATATAAATTACACTCAATATTTATTCAATCTTCAAAATGTCACGTTTACGCTTAGTTAATGCTATATCAGCAATAACCTACTAAGTAATATTACGATTTAATTACACTATTTTATAGGTTTAAAATTTTATTATAAATTTTTTTGTTAGAAGATCTCATTACATTTTTTTTTTTTTTACATGAAGGGATCAACTCAAACACTTTTTAAATTTTTTTTTTAATTTTCATTACATATTTGTTTATTCGGGCTTAATAAAAATTTCACACAATATATATATATATATATATATATATATATATATATATATATATATATATATATATATATATATATTTTTTTTTTTTTTTTGATGATCAAATTCGAGTAAGGCTTTCCGTGCGATTTATGCGGACTACACTATTAGATATGCATAAATGTATTACATTGTGTTCAGAAA